GCCGAATGTCAGGATATCACAGTAAGTACTAGGACAGAGGTAAGTACAGGGCTCTGTGGGAAAGTCAGGAGGATCTGAGGCTTCTTAGAGAAAATGTGAATTGATCTTTTAAAAATGCAAATAAGTTAGCCAAGTGAAAACAAATGATATTAAGTGGTGAGGACAACAGAAAGCAAAACAACGGAGGCATAAAAAGGGGTGGAGGGAAACTAAAAGCACTTTGGCATTGTTAGAGTACAGAAGTGGTGAGGGTGTCAAGAAATGAGACTGTGGGAGCCTCTAGCCTCCTGAGAACCACCTGAGAAACACAAAGGTCCTAGGATCCAGAAAACCTGACACTTGTGCTGAGCATCACTAATGCTTCTCCTCATCCACACCTGAAACTACCTGAGAATGGATGCTACGGGGACTATTCCTGAAAGTGCAGAGCTGGCGACATTCACGACATGCTTTCCTTTCGGGTATGAGGCCGACCTGGCTTCGGTCAGAGGTCCACACACCCTAGGATTTCACTCAGATTCAAAGGAGGTGTGGACTTTGGATAATCTTGGGGCGTCCTTCACAAACTGCCCCAGGGAGAAAAAGGAAGAACGGGGGAAACATGGCCGCAGGAACAACCCTGAGACATTACATTCCCCCAGAGACACTCTACATCACAACCCACCCGAGTCGCCACTCTGATGTCCCCAGAGCCGAGAAGCCGAGCTAGGAAGGAAGCCCCCGGCGCCCTGCGGGTAGGAAGGACGGACCGACGCACAGCACCAAGCCTGACCCACCCCCCGTTTCCCGGTCACCTCCGGGCTACCCCGGCCTCACCCAGACAGAGAGGTGCAAGCGCCCCGCCTCTGGGGGTCTACGGCTCTGTTTACCTTGGTCATCCCAACCCCTACCACAAACACCCGGTTCCGGGGCTGAGACCGTGCTATGGCCACAGGCATGGCTTGGATCAGTCACCGCAGAGGCAGGCCCAGCAGACAAAAGGACATCCCGCGAGATCCGGGCCAAGACTGACGCTGCAGCAGAGCCTAGTTCCCAACGCTAGGGGCGGGGCGGGAGGCCTCGGGGGGGCGGGGCGGGGCGGGGCGGGAGGGCAGGGGCTAGTGCCCGTGTGC